ATCATGCGTGGGTGCAATAGCAACAATTTCATGTTTAACATAAGGAACTATATAAAGTTCATCTCCATAAGAATAATTCGTATTGGCATCTTGGCCACAAGCATAGAAAGCATCATCAAAAAGGGGTATTTCACGAGAATCAACGGGATCATAATAATCATCATAGCAATCATCCTTCGGTAAGCACGAAGTGAAATTAAACAATGTATGAGTTGAAGAGTTACTCTCATTAGAAGGTGGGCACGGGTAGCTAATCCTCTCTTCCTTCTTTTGTTCTTCGCTCTCCTCATCATCTTTTTCATCCAATGAGCTCACAGTTTCATCAATTTCTTCTTCCATAGACTCCTGCAAAATATTAGTCTCTTCTTGGACAGCGGAGAAGTCCTCAATATATGGTTTAACATAGGCATTAGAAGCATAATTATCATAACAATATTGAAATATGTCAAAAAATTTAGATTTGTAAGGAGTAGCATCATACTTTTCAATCAAAGAAGCAATTTCATAAGCACCCTTAAAAGCAAAAAATTCTTCAATTTGTTGAACATCATAATAATTATAAACACCCTTAGCATACGAAGATATGATTCCATTGTCACTAAACAAGCATTGATAGGGAAGGTGTTTCTTAGGGTCTTCAGAACAACAAGTAAAATCATAAATTTCACATAAATTCCAAGCATAGCATTGCAAATAATCAATTTGATCCAGTAAAAGTTTCCCTTTTTCAGATACACGGTGTCGCACATAACAAGCATGCTCATCTAAACATTTGCCCTCAACTAAGCTAGTTGGGGTTTCAGCACGAGCACAATGGGATCGAAGATGATCCAAGTAAAAAGCTTCAGGAGTGTGATAGATTTTGAGTGGTTCTTCAACCATTGGTGTAGTAGGTACAACAATTTTTTTTGGTATTTTGCGTTCCCTACCCATAATTAAAGATAGAAAACAAATAAGAAGAGCAAATAAAATTTACTTAGTGATAAAGCAAATAAGCACACACGAGAATATTCACCCCACGCAATGACTCCCCGGCAACGGTGCCAGAGAAAGGTCTTGATAACCCACAAGTATAGGGGATAATTGTAGCCTCTTTCGATAAGTAAGAGTGTCGAACCCAATGAGGAGCTAAAGGTAGAACAAATATTCTCTCAAGTCCTATCTGCCACTGATACGACTGTACGCACGCTTAGTGTTCGCTTTACCTAGAACAAGTATGAAACTAGAAGTACTTTGTAGGTGTTGTTGGATAGGTTTGCAAGATAATAAAAAGCACGTAAATAAAAAGTAGGGGCTGTTTAGATAAAGAAGCAATAAAGTAAATATAGCGAGTGTGGAAAAGTGGTGGTAGGAGTTGTGAAATTGTCTCTAAGCAATTGACTACTTTACTAGACCGATAGCAAGTTTTATGTGGGAGAGGCCACTGCTAGCATGTCATCCCTGACTTGGAATTCTATGCACTTATGATTGGAACTATTAGCAAGCATCCGCAACTACTAACGTTCATTAAGGTAAAACCCAACCATAGCATTAAGATATATTGGTCCCCCTTCAATCCCGTATGCATCAATTTCTATGCTAGGTTGAAGCTTTTGTCACTCTTGCCCTCCAATACATAGTCCTATGAACATACAACTAACCCTATGGTGTGATCCACGTGCGCGCTCATATGATGGGCACCAAAGGTTAGAAACATAACCACAAGCAAATTAAACCAATCATAGCAATTCATCAATCACCGATAGAACAACGAAAATCTACTCAGACATCATAGGATGGCAACACATCATTGGATAATAGTATGAAGCATAAAGCACCATGTTCAAGTAGAGGGTACAGCGGGTTGCGGGAGAGTGGAGCGCTGAATATAGATGGGGGAAGGTGATGGAGATGTTGGTGAAGATGATGGAGGTGTTGGTGTAGATCGCGGTGATGATGATGGCCCCCGGCGGCGTTCCGGCGCCATCGGAAGCAAGGGGGAGAGAGCCCCCCTTCTTATTCTTCTTCTTCCTTGACCTCGTCCCTAGATGGGAGAAGGGTTTCCCCTCTGGTCCTTGACTCCCATGGCGTGGGAGGGGCGAGAGCCCCTCCGAGATTGGATCTGTCTCTCTGTCTCTCTTTGTTTCTGCGCTCCTGGATTCTGCCCTGGCACCGTTTCTTTTATATCCGGAGATTCGTAACTCCGATTGGATTGAAACCTTCGCCCAGATTTTTTTTTGAAAATTAGCTTTCTTGCGGCCAAAGTAGAGCAGCAACCGCCTTATGAGGGGCCCACGAGGGTTAGGGGCGCGCCTAGGGAAGTCAGGCGCGCCCCCTGCCTCGTGGCCATCTTAGGCACCGTCTCGCATTGATTTTACTTCCCAAAAATCATAAATATTCCAAAAATAAGCTCCTTCCGTTTTTATCCCATTTGGACTCCGTTTGATATGGGGTTTCTGCGAAACATAAAACATGCAACAGACAGGAACTGGCACTGGGCACTGGATCAATATGTTAGTCCCAAAAAATAGTATAAAAAGTTGCCAAAAAGTATATGAAAGTTATAGAATATTGGCGTGAAACAATCAAAAATTATAGATACGACAGAGACGTATCACTTCCAGGGCATGGTGACCAGACCGTAGCCTCCGATCACATAGGATCAACAGATTCCTCACTCCCTACCAACGAGGCACCATGGGTCAACCACGTATCATCACCCCAAGAAGAGCAGTCCATAGGGGCCGATGATAGCAGGAAAAACCTGAGGAAAAGGCGCCATTGCTTCATCAAGCATAGGATCATTATGCCACGGATTGATGCCCACCGGCCTAGCTGAGAGCATTGCGGTAAGGAGATCCCGCTCGATAGGATCGTGAGGGAAGATGCAACCATCCACACGACGAGCCAAGCAATCTTCAAGGGGCGGCGCCAAGAGAGCCTCAGCGTACGAACGCTGCCTAGTAGCATGGCTGGCCGACACATCACGGCGAACCCCAACACTGAACCGAGGACCGGAGGAAGGCACTGACGAGGAAAGCTTTAACGGAGGGCCAAGGTATATTTATGGGAGAAATACTTCTTGAGTATGCATATTGGTTGAATCACTTCCCATCGCCACTCATTTGGCCGTCTTCATCTCATCTTGTAACTTCATGAGGTTAAGTTCTAACTACTTCATGACCTATGCTGTACTGGACTTTGTGTGCAGCTGTTTTGGAGACGGTTGCTAGGGCTTTGTCCGGGCGATTTGGCTGGCGACATGGTACAAAATTTTGTGATGCAAAGTGCGCCACATAATCGCTATTCAAACGATTATAACCACACTAGTTAAGCAATGAATATCTTTTTTCTTGCAAAAAAAAGTGTGCCGCATAATCGCTATTGGCAATGCCTTTTGTTGGACCTTCTTTTCTTTCTAGTTTGTCTATAAAGCTTAATAAATCATTTTTGCTATCCGTTTACTTCTAACATGAACACTGGCGTTATTATGTACAGGAAAACCCACCATTTGTCTTTCTCCATACTGGATTTCACCTCGCTTTATAAGTAAATAAAGTTTAGAAAGCACAAGCAAGATGAATGGCTAAAGGATACAAGGTAATGAGGAAACCGTCGTACAAAGCAGATCCTAGGATAACCGGATAACAAACGCACGTGACTACATGAATGACAGATATCAAATGAAGGCCTAAACACAACGCCACTACACGCCCTAGGACACCTAAACTCTACAACAACGCCCTAAAGCAGGGGAAAGACGCAAAGTGTCACTGGTGCCGAACCCGAAACGGACAAGCGTCTTCACCTGGAACCTGGTACAAAGAGAAGAACCCCAACAACATCCTCAAAAAGAAAGTGACACCTGCGCGGAGCTTTCTTTCGGTAGCTCATCCGTGACATCACGAAGCATTCAGGACAACTGCCACGACCATAAGTTTTCATATCCGGATCTGAGCGTCGTCATTGTCAAACTAATAGAGACTGAGAGACAATGAGCTATGTTGTATTGGACTCTATGTGCAGCCGTGTTGGAGACGGTTGCTAGGGCTTTGTCCAGTCGGTTTGGCTGGCGACATGGTAATAAAATTTGTGATGCACAGGTGTGCCACTGCCACGTAATCGCTATTGTCAATGCCTTTTGTCGGTGAATCTTTTTGCTCTAGTTTGTCTATAAAGCTTAATAAATCATTTTTGTAGTCCATTTACATCTAACATGAACACTTGTATTATTATGTAAAGGAAAACCCACCATTTGTCTATCACGATGCTTTGGCCTTGATTTGTAAATAAAGTTTATAAAGCACAAGTAATATGAATGGCTAAATGGTACAAGATAGTGAGAAAACCCTCTTACAAAGCAGATACTAGGATTCCAAATAACAAACGCACGTGACTACGTTAACGGTAGATATCGAATGAAAGCATGAACACAACGCCACGACACGCTCTAGGACACCTAAGTTGTACAACAACGCCCTCAAGAGGGGGAACGGCGCAGAGTGTAGCTGCTGCCGAGCTCGAAACGGACAAGCACCTCTCACCCGGAACCTGGTACAAAGAGAAGAACTCCAACGACATCCTCAAAAAGAAAGTGACACACACGTGGCTCTTTCATTCAGTAGCTCATCCGTGGCATCATGAAGCATCCAGGACAACCGCGGTTGCCACAAGTTTTCAGATCCGGATCTGAGCATAGTCACTGTCAAACAACAACAACAACAACAACAACAACAACAACAACAACAACAACAACAACAACAACAACAACAACAACAGAGATCGTGTCCACCATCACAATTGTCATGACTCAAAATAATGTGAATTCGTTACCACAAGATGGCCCGACCGATGTGTCACTATACCTACCCACCCAAAACAACATTATTGAGATGCACATGCCCACCATCGAACCATCGACCGACTCAGCACATACCTAAACGCAGCAGAGAAGGACCGGGGCGACTCAGCATTTATTCCTGGGAGAAGGAGGAGGAGGACGTACACGCACGGGAGGATCGATGGAGATCGACGCCGACCTCGTCGTCACCAGGGCCGAGATCACGGACGCCGCGGCGGCCACGTTCGCGGACTCAACAGTGATCCCCGACAGGTACGCCCGGCCGGACGAGGTCGGGGACGGGGTCGTGGTGGGCGACGAGGAGAGCCACGAGCTGCCGCTCGTAGACATGGCGAGGCTGCTCGACTCGGAGTCCTCTGAGGCGGAGGCGGCCAAGCTTGGCTCTGCATGTCGAGACTGGGGCTTCTTCCAGGTTAGACATCCTTCATCCTTTTTCGCATAGAGGGAGCATTCGCATTATCCTTTTTTTGGTATCAAATCTACACATTCTTCCGTTTGCAGCTAACAAACCATGGACTCGACGAATCAGCTGTACAAGACATGAAGAATAACGCTGTGCAGTTCTTCCGCTTGCCACTGGAGAAGAAGAACGCCGTGGCCATCGAGGCCGGCCGTTTGGAAGGGTTTGGGCACCACTTCGCCGGAGCATCCTGCGACAAACTGGACTGGGCAGAGAGCCTGATACTCGCGACGCAAGAGAACGAGCAGACGAACATGGAGCTCTGGCCCGCCGATCCGCCAACATTTAGGTTTTCCTGATACTCTACGGTTACAAAATACTCCCTCGTAGGAAGGCATATAACTTTGGTCCAAAGTCAAATAGTGCATTATTTGACTTCAGCCAAAATTTATAGGCCTTCTTTCAAGCAGGGAGGGAGCACATGCTTATTACTCTGTTTGCTTCATCTCATTCACCTGCTTATAACACCAGGGATGCACTTGAGAAGTACTCGCTCGAGATGTCTAGTCTCGCGAGGCGCCTCCTGAGGTTCATGGCGAGCGACATCGGAGTGGAGCGGGAGGCGCTCGACGGGGCCTTCCGGGGCAAGAGGCAGACCGTGGCCATGCACCACTACCCTCCATGCCGGCACCCGGACAAGGTGATAGGCATCACGCCGCACCATGACGGCCTCGGCCTGGCCCTCCTGCTGCACGTGGACGACACCCCGGGCCTGCAGGTGAGGAGGGGCGGCAGGTGGTTCCCGCTGGACCCGCTGCCGGGCGCCCTCGTCGTCAACGTCGGCGACATCCTCCAGGTGCTCACCAACGGCAAGTACAGGAGCGCCGAGCATAGGGTGTTGGTGGACGCCGAGAGAGGCCGGACGACCGTGGTGATGTTCCAGGGCGCGTCCGTCGCCGGGACGGTGAGGCCGCTCCCGGGGCTCGGCGAGGCCAGGTACAGGGCGATCGAGTATGGTGAGTATGTCAAGGGGAATTTCAGGGCGCTCGTTGAAGGGACCAGGTTCGTGGATAGTCTCCAGACCGATGTAGCGCAGGATGAGAAGGAAATCTAAAATCGGTCTTGCTAATGGGTATTTCTGTTGGCTTTGTTTTAGGTGTGGGTTGTGATTGTGTGTTCTTGCTGTGTGTGTGTGTGCTCGCGTGTGTGTGGGTTGTGTTGTGTGTTCTTGCTCTGTGTGTGCGCTTATGTAGGAGTATATATATCTCCAGTATGGAATAAATGAGGTAGTTATACATCAACGACATGAGATGCAATTCCATTTTAAGATGAGAGATGTTAATTTCCCAAGCTAGTGGTTTGATTTGTTCGAACTCTAGGTATAATATGGATTTATACACACGAGTTTTATGTTGTCTGTTTACAAAATTATATCGTTGTCTGAAATTTCAACTACTACTATATGTTTATTTTGACTATTCAACAAGCAACAAATTAAACCGCACGCAAAGGTCACGTCCCTGACGCGGCTCAGGCGGGCACCCCATCGTTCGCCACCTCAGCCCCCTCCCCACCCCCTGCCACCGTCGTCGTCAGCAAACGATGCCAGAAAAAGCCCGAGGTACGGCTGGTGGCAGCAAAACCTACTCCTTTCGTGTGCAGCAACCATCCCTCGCCACGACCCCCTTATCTGTCGCGGCCCTATCCGGCCGCGGACGCCTTCCGCGCGACTTACTGCTACCGCCTTGCTGCAGATCTAGCCGCGGTGCACACACCTTCATGCCCTTTCCGGTGCACACGCACCGACGTCCTATTCTTCGCGTATGTCGTCGTCCATGTCAGGTTTACCCGGTGCTAAACGCCGTACACCTGCGCTACCCTCCACCGCGGCCTCGTCCTCGTCCTTCACCGCCACCTCGTGCCTCCCTCGGTTGCGTGTGCCGGCCCTCAGCCTCCTGCGCTCGCACTTCCCCTCGCCCCATGGCCGATCTCCGTCACATCAGAGCGCCCCCGTGCGCCGCGCATGGGCTGGCAGGTCTTGTCCTTATTTTTCTCATCATCATTTACCCTTGTTCTTGTACGGTTTTCAGCTTGGTTTCCTCATAAATGGATTCAAATTGTTAAAGACTTCGATCCGGTTTCCCTCGTAAACTGGAGAAAAAAATTCGTT